TTTTCTTGTATTTTATCGCTCTGCTGACCCTTGGGGTCCATTTTATTTTGGTATACCTTTTCTAGGTACGTTAGCCTGTGACCACGGAAATTGGCCGAGTCAAGTGATGGATTAGTACGGAGAGATTGAGACAGAAGGAGGTACTGGATAGAGAGACCGGGATGGTTTTTAATGTGAAGACAACAACAACAACAACAACAACAACAACAACTACAGAGGAACAAAAAGTTTCTTGATGTTTTCCTTGGGAGTGTGGTTGGTGCAGATTCATGAAGATTCTTTTTGGGTGTTTGAGCGTTATGCGTGACTTGATGCCGTGATGGTTTGACGAGCACGAGCACGCCCCCGATTAATACAACACAACAACACGGATACAACACGTTTCCCAACACGTTTTTACCCATCCACGCCCCGTCATGGGCCACCCGCTCTAAACTCCAAGCACATAGAACTGGGTCACCCGAATTATCGATCACGTGTCACTCCTCGGCTGGGAGGGCCAACAAAAGAGAGATTTTTCCCACCATTCCTCCAGCGACATCTTCGTCACGATAACCTGCATGAGAGGCGGGCATCTCTCTGAGGATGGCATTGTAGCATGGGAGAGAGCTCATAAAAATCTGTCTTGAATTGTTGAGATCATACATCGTCTCCATCGTATCCTGAACCCACCGATAAAATATGCGCGACAATAAAACAAAGAGAATCAAAGAGACAATATAGTAAACGCGCATACTCCTATCCGTGTTCACTACGCACGCGTACTTGGCCAAGGTGTATTTGCCGCCGGCACATGCCTACAAACGAGAGTGTGTAGGGCTCAAGATACAGGGTAAAGGCGACATCTGTCCATTCCAAAACAGCAATACAGACACATGTTGCCCCCCCAATCCCCGAAAAGCCATGCCGGAGTATTCCATGCACCCCGGTCAGTCTCCCCCAGCCTCTGAACGCTGACACATCAGAAGAAATTCACCCTGATTCATGTGCTCTAGGCATACCAGCCAGTGAACATCACCAAGCAATATGCCACACTTGAGAACGAGTGCATTTCCCCAAATACCGTGACAATGCAGTCGTGGCCACCTTGAACACGTTTACGTACGTACCGATTCCGTGCAAACCTCTTGGGGATATGTTACAGTAGTGTCGTGTTGTTGCTCCAGGGGCAATATTCTCTGCGGTGGCACCTTTCTGGCTGTTAACGGCTGCGTTCGAGATCTGTACCAGAGCTATCAAAATGGGAGGCCCGGAACGAGTTGACACCCTCAATATACAATGTGCCTGAGGGGAACACTTTGTATTCACCAATAAGTCAGAAAGCCTGCCAAAAGTAACTATGGTAAACAATGATTGAGAAGGCATTCCAGGCCGACGGATATTCAGTTCGGGGCTTGCTGTTTCCGCATCTCTGAAACGTGGATCGAGGAAGCCACACACGGAGGCGTTGCAGAGCGGCAAGTACCATAGAAAAAGCGCCCTCATTGGTATTTTGATGCCGGCTTTGCTTCCTGGGGAGGCTGTACTACTTCTTGTGTCCAGCAGCGTTCTTCCGGAGCAGCTCCAGGTGCGGGCAGCCTCCGTTTAGCCCTCCGAGCGGGCCGACGACAGCAGTCCCGCCCTGAACGTCCCCGGCGTCCCTCTCACCACGGAGGATCTCCATGAAGCTCTTGGGGTCGAAGTAGACGTCGACGTCGCACAGCTGCAGCTTGTCATTGACGGTGGCCACGCCGAAGCCGTACAGTTCGACCAGCTGACCCTCGCCCGCGTTTCCCTGATAGCTGCCGTCGAAGTTTGCCCAGTGACGCCAGGTGAAGCCCACGGTTGGAGGGCCGGAAAACACCTCGAGCACTTCCCACGGAAAAGCGTCGAACGTTCCGTGGAAGACAGCGTGCGACTCTTCCCAGGTTTTCTCGTCGGAGTCCCACATCTCCTTGGGGCAGCTTTCCAGCAGGACGTTGTAGTTCCCGGCGGCGTTCGCCTCCTTGTTGTTGTACTTCTTGCCGCCATTCGCCGAGAGGGAGAACCGCTCCTGGTCCACAGTGCGGTGCTCCGTGTGGTCGAGCTTGTGCGAGCGCTCCATCTCCCACGTCTTGACGAGGTTCTCGACGATCAGCTCAAGGGATCCTTCGGGGTGCGCCTTCGAGCGCCCCTTGAGGAACGCGAGGTTCGCGAGCGTGTAGTCCGGAGGGCAGCCGAACCGCCACTTGGTGTCGGGATCGTCCATGAATGACCGCTCGGGTTCCTTCAGGCTGAACTCGGCTTTGAGGGCGTCGAGCTCCGCCCTGTAGGTTGCAATCTCCTCCTTGGACAGGGCCTTGCCTGACCCGTTCACGGAAGATCTGTGTTATGAATGGTGGATCGTCGATGGGCGTGTATGCGTTTGTTCGAATTCCGGCTTTAGTGTTTGGTCGGGATCTGACCGCAACCAACGGCAGTTGACGAATGAAAGATATTTTCCCTGACCCTCGCGTAAGTCAGAGGTGAAAGATCGTGCCGTGGTGCGGCATGAAAATTGATGGGCAATGAAATCAATCGAACGTTTGAGCAATTTTCTAAATATTCTGGTTAGCGTATAGACATTGCAGAAGCATATGTTGTCCCCGGCTGGCCACAAAAAAACGGACGCGGTCTTCCGCATTCTATTTCTTCGTGGCTTTGTGAGGACACGCGGTACCCCGCTGATGCCTTGTGTTTTCTGGCCAGGAGAGTGTTGGTCACGTAGGCAACATGTGCGAAGAATGAGCATTGCAAAATTCTCTTTAAACAGAATACTCAAATGTGCTCGACGTAAACAGACATTGTTGTTCCTGTTGCAGGTCACAAAGGAGCGAACCACCTTGTCCAAGGATAACCAATTATTTTCTCACCCGGCCACAACAGCGTCCATGTCGTCACCCGGGATCGGAATGGTCGTCCCACGATGGGTTTCCTCTGGCGTACCTAGTACCTGGTAGTCGTTTACCTTCCGCGTGGGGCGAGAGGTGCCGGGGACACGCAAATGATCAGCAAGTACGATTTTTAGGAAGAGAACGCTCAGGAGCAGCTCAACGATCGTTGTTTCTGCGTGACGTACAGAGACGGGTCTACCCTCAAACACCCGTTTTCCAAACCCTGCGATAACGATAGGTGCGTTGTCAACTTTGTCGACTACCATTACATGCAGTCTCTGTCGAGCCGGGGGCGCTGAGGTAGGCACACGATGGAGCACAGGTTCGCGAACCTAGAGGAATGCACGGGCGTGCGTGTGACATCCGTTGCGGCTTGCCCTGTTCGGTGGAGCGAGCCCACGGAGAAAGTGGAGAATACTCGTTTTTTGATTGCATAGTATTGAGGGGAGACGTGTCACTAGAACACCCAGTGGTTTGTTAGTGCGTCGGGTGGTTCCATTGAACCCGCGCTTGGAGGAATCCGGGTTTTCAACGCCGCCGCGGCGGGCCTTCACCCACGGTGACACGAGTAAACGTGAATGCTACTGAGTATTGGTTGTTGTTGTTGTTTGTTGTTCTCGTACTTCTTGTTCAGGCCAGCCTCGTCACTTGCAACTGCTCCTCTATGCAGCAAGTTGCGTCGACGTCACTCCCAAAACAACCCTATCGCCTCATCACGCGCACAAAAAAAGACATCATTTTTTTTTTTTTGCCTTCCAACAATTGCAGATGTACCTCAGAAAACTTTCACTTAATGTCTCATACTCTACTTGAATATTAAACCAATACGAAGTACAACGACATATGTAGGACTTATTTCTACTGTCACTTACATCCTAATTTCCTCGTTATGCTGAAAAAGCAAAAACAGCATCGACGCACGAAATGCATGCTGTGCACGAGGCAAGTGCAGCATACGTGCTGGCGGGCTTTTTCTTGCCAAGTTGTCCGCGGATCCCACCCGAGCGAACAAATTTTGCTGATGATTCTGACGGCGAAACAAACCAAACGTTCACTACTTCGTCGGTACTTTACCGCCGATGAACTACCATTTATAGTCGTATTGCTAGGGTAGTTGTTGTTGTTGTTGCTGCTGTTTTCTTCGCATTGAACTCGTGTCAGTTGCTAATCCCAAAATCTAGCAAAGACCCGGTCCGTGGTCACAAAAATGCTAGAGCAATCAGAAGATCTAATGAACACGCACACAATTAGCAGGAAAAGGGTACGCAAGCACGAGGAGGTACACCTACAATACCTGAAGCACGTTTGCGTGCTCACAAGTGAACTACACGCCCACACACTACAATTCGACTACACCAGCAGCATCAACCCGCTTGTCCCGCACATAACCAAAATGAACGATTGCCGCCTACAGCGTACTGCTGTCTGAAGTAGGTGCTGGATTGGTCCTGGACGTGGGTAGGTCCTGGGTTGGTGTTGCTTGGAGTAGACCTGCAGCAGTGGGTCGCAATTGGGTGGTAAACGGTAAACGGTAAACCGTTTCCGTGCAGACCTGTATGGGCGAGATTGCCAACTCTGGGTGCATCTCGTACTTGCGTGCACCCGGCTATCTTCACAATTAGCATCGACCGCGCAAAAAATAACCGACGGACGTGTTTGTTTTATTATACGCATCGACCGCGCTAACCGGCGACATGTATGTGTGTATATATCGAACATTTCGATATTTGTTTTGAATTTGTGAAATCGGGTCGAGGTTCGACGGCTTCGCTCTTCACCACCATCGATTTATCGTATGGAGTATTGCAATTAGTCGCGGAGTGCAAAGCGCAACCTTTTTGCCCTTCATCTCCCAGGAGGGAAAAAGGCTCTAAATATCGGCCTGAGTTCCGCCGCGTGTTGCAGGGGCCCACAGCTTGATTTCCGTGAAGCATATTTATCGCACCTTTCCGACCAGAACGAGACCAAGAGGGCACCGTTTGACGATCTGTTCACTTCTGAGGAAGAAGAAAAGTTACGCGCTCTTCGTCATAATGGTTTGCTCGTGTTTCTGCAACAGATGGCCGTCCTTCACAGGCATATGGGACCCAATTCGTAGATCGTATCCAACAACATATTGGTGAAATTGAGAGCGAAGCATGAAATTGAGAGCGAGATTGCGCGATGCGCTGCAGCTGGACTACTGCTGAGAGGGGGAGCTTGCTGTGTAGCTTGAATTGAAGGGCCAGCCCGTAGCTACAAGCAGATACCCTGGTCATCCTGTGGGAGTCTCTCGATGTGGAGTTACAGCGGCGAGCAGAACCTACAGCAGAGGCCCCCGCCCGAGGCCACACCGCCCTGCAACAGTTTGAGGCAGGAATAGCCAATCTGGGGAAATCTAGCAACTTGTCTAGCTCCTAGCTGCAGCATCCGATGACGATGACACGCATATGCTCGTGACGCTGCTGATGAGACCTTCAATTTGGTCCGCTTCTTGGAAGAGCCTGCCCCCTACTTCCCAAGAAATGGCAAAAAGCGTCTGGACCCAAATTTTATTTTTTTTGGCTCTCGCCCTCAATTTCGTGCTTCGCTCTCAATTTCACCAATATGTTGTTATCCCCGGATACCCAGGAGTTGTGGAGAGGTAAAATGCCCAAGCTATCGGAGATTGCACACTCACACAGACACGTGGTAGAAGACTTCAAACCCCGGGAGGACAGCACCACATACATCCGTGCAGAAGAAGGAGAACAACAGGACGCTGATCCAAGACCAGCTATCTATGAAAATCAGGAGGGGCCGGGCCTAGTCTATACCACCTGTGTGCCGTGGGTATAGTCATGCGCCGCGTGTAAGCTGGCGGGTGTTTATTGATGTTGAGAGGTCCATCCGGCTGCTCCCAAAACAACAGCAGACCGAACGAACAACACACAACATGACACACCCTCCCGGAGGAACAGAGCGGTTTCCGCCCACACCGGTCGACGCTCGACATGCTGTTCGCCATCCAGCGGCTCCATGAGCTCGCGAGGAAGAAGAGTACTGCGGTGTTCGCGTGCTTCGTCGACCTCACCAAGGCATACG